AAACTAGGTGAAGCAAGTTCACCTTGCTTCACCAAGCTGAGCTTGGCGAAGCTAAATAGTAATCTAATTATGTCCTAGATAAAAACGGTTATCCAAATAAATAATAATAAATAACTAAATGGTTGACCGTTATTAACTGTAGACACGGTTTCCGCATATAGTGTGCTGCGAAGAAGTTCTTTAAGAATCAACTAAGGGCCACGTCGACCGAATACTGGTTTAATACTAAAACGAGAAACGATATGAGAAACAATACCAAATGCAGGAAGAATTAAAATGTAGACTTCTGGATGACCGAAGAACCAAAAGAGGTGTTGGTATAATAATGGGTCACCACCACCATTAGGATCATAGAAGCTAGTATTTAAGTTACGGTCGGTTAATAACATAGTAATAGCCCCAGCAAGGACAGGTAAAGATAATAATAATAACCAGGCAGTAATAAATACACTCCATACGAATAATGGTAGTTTATCAAAAGTCATACCTGGAGCACGCATGTTGATAGTAGTAGTAATTAAGTTAATAGCACCCATAAGAGAAGAAACACCAGAAATATGTAAAGCTAAAATACCTAAATCAACAGCAGCACCAGCGTGGTAAGGAGTATCAGATAACGGTGGATAAAGAGTCCAACCAGTACCGACACCACCACTAAATAAACTAAGAACTAATAAAATAAGAGAAGGAGGTAATAACCAGAAACTAATGTTATTTAATCTTGGGAAAGCCATATCGGGAGCACCGATCATAACAGGTAAAAGCCAGTTCATAAATCAAAAAGTTTTCACTTCTTGCTGGACTATATATTCAACCATAATATATTATGGTTGCATCACGTATGACTAAAATTACAGATAAGTAATACCTATAAATAGTATAGCTAGTCTCTGAGGATCCTACTAATGGTAAAGGGCTAGGCTCACAAGGTTCGCCTTGAGAGTCAAGAGAGACTTGTATCTCTAGCCTCAACCACTTTGGTTTCCTGCGGGTTATCCTATTCAGTGGATTTTCCCGACATATAGTGATGTAATTGCGTTACCTTACGACAACGACGGCAACTGTACATTCAAGTGAAGATTAAGTTGACTAACGATTCAAATGATCCCAATTAAATGAGGTTCTATTGTTATTCATCTCCAATTTAAGATCATAGCACTCATTAACAGCTTGAGGAGAAAGAGGCGTATTTTTGGAGATATCTAGAATATTGCACCAACAAAGAGAATCTAAATATTTACTAGAAAATAAAGGAAAAGAATTAAAATAATTACGTAAAATCAATTTAGATTTAATACTAGAACAAATGAAAAAGTACTGATAAGTAATAACACCATTCAATTCTCGAGTTCGATCATAAACTTTAACACTAAGTTGATCAGCAATAATAGTTAAAATATCCTAATAACTATAACCCTAATTGTTACTTACATTTAAACGATGATATTCTTGTCTAAGCTCTAAACGATACTGAGTTTGAACTCTAATAGAATCTTTACCAGTACGTTGAGCAATAATAACATTAAAATTGGAATCTCCATCAGAGAAACCAGATAACCAAGCATTTTCTAAAATAGGTGACAAGTCCTATTCTCTTCTAACTAATAAAGGAAAAGATCCTTTAGTCTAACTATTAATATAAGGAATACCTTTAAGATTTAGACTAGATACCTATCTATTATAAGCCTCCTATTTAGGAGTTCTAAAATAAGGACCAATCAATGAAGCTACATAATAAATACCTCTATAATCGGTAAGAATATAAATTAAATAATTACCTTTTTTAGGATAAGTCTAACGACCAAATCCAATTACTTGTAATAATTTCCTGGCAAATGGTTCGTCTTTTATATGAAAGACAATTTTTATGACAGGTCTACGAGTAGGATTCTCTTCATCAGGAGCTAAAATAGATCCATCAGCTTCAATTAATCCAGCGAGATAAGCACCTAACCATGAAGGTTTATTAGATATATAATTAGGATCATAAACATTTGAGCCTGAGTCTGATTCGATTAATGAAAAACTATCATCAATACTATCAGTGTCAACAATTGAACGTAATAAGACGCTACCAAAACCCCCAATAAGAGCCGGCATTACTAAGAAGAAAATCATAATAATACCATGAGCAGTAACAATAACATTATATTGATCATGATTACCTAAAAGATAAACATTACCACCAGCAGATAATTCTAAACGAATAATAATAGATAATGCAGAACCAATTAAACCTGCAAAACCACCGAAAATAAGATATAAAGTACCAATATCTTTAGCATTAGTACTTAATAACCATCTATTAATCCAAGACATAGTCATAATTTTATTTAAAATTTGCCTCACTCAACCTAATTATATTTATATAGAATCAATCTAATTTATTGAAAATGATTGATAAGTAAGCATTAAACCATGATGTAATCACAAAATATATCGGTATATCTTACCTTTATATAAAAATATACACAATATTTATAAAGATTCCTAATATCTACTCTACCAGATGTTTTCTATTGTTAGGCTCACAAGGTTTGCCTAGTAGTGAAATTTGGGGTGGATGAATAAATCTACACACTAATGAATATAAAAGTAATTATACTCAAGCGGATTCAATTTGAGATTCAATAAAGTTAAGATAAGATGGAATAGTCACAGCATGTACACCAATAGGCATAAAGGCATGCATAGTACCACAAAGTTCACTACATTGACCATAATAAGTAGATGGTCTGTTAATAATAAGACCAGTGGAGTTTAAACGACCTGGAATAGCATCAGATTTAATACCTAAAGAAGGTAAAGCAAAGCTATGAATTACATCATTAGAACTAATTAAAAGACGAATACTGGTATGAATAGGTAAAACTAAGTAATTATCAACAGCTAATAAACGTAAATCACCTAATTCTAAATCAGCATCACTAATCATGAAAGAATCAAAAGCAATAGATTGTGGATCATCACTATCAGTATTAGAATAATCAGAATATTCATAAGACCAATACCATTGATTACCCATAATTTTCACAGAAAGTTCTGGATCAATAATTTCATCCATCATATATAATAAACGTACACTTGGTAAACCAATAGCCCATAAAATAGCAGCAGGTGTAATAGTCCATAATAATTCTAAAGCATTACCATGGTGTAAATGAGCTAAATGATCATTACTCATTAAACTACTAATAAAGAACCAAGAAACTACAGCTAAAACAATTAATAAATAAAAGATAATACGATCATGTAAATCAATAATCGCATACATCCAGTCAGAGGCTGGATCTTGAAAACCTAATGGTAAACCACTGGCGAAATCAGCGTAAATAAACATTTTAATTTCATTAATTAAATAATTAACTCCCAACATAGACAATATAGATATTTAGGCAAGGCTCGCCTTGAGAGCCAAGAGAGTCTTGGCTTTCTAAGCCCTAACTCAAAGTACATTTCTGTACTTCTTAACTAGTAATACTACACAATAATTGTTTTCACATAAAGTAGATTGGGCTAAAGGGCCATCCAAGGCCAACTGGCCCGTTGATTAGCGCATTCGCGGGTCTGGATCTAATATCATAAGGGTTAGGCTCACAAGGTTCGCCTTGTCCTAGCCAAGGACAGGTTGTCTAGATCTAATATGTGCCAGTTATGACATTAGTTCTAACTTGGCCTATTGACCTGATTAGGATTCACGATTAGGCTAAGATATCGAAAGTGTAAATAAAAGGTGGAAGAAAGAGTGTATAAGCGATAGTGAAAGGTAAAATATGAGACCAGCCTAAACGTAATAATTGATCAAATCTAAGACGAGCTAATGAGGCTCTCAACCAAATAAAGAAAAATAGCATGGGAAGTGCTGCTGACACACCAAAGAACAAGATAAAGAATAATGTACTAATCACAACAATAGAAGTGTATTCACCCAGGAAGAAATAGGCGAAAGCTACGGCGGAGTGTTCAGTGAAAAACCCAGCGACAAGTTCTGATTCTGCCTCTGGTAGGTCAAATGGGGCTCTATTCGTTTCAGCGACAGCACTGATTAAGAATAAAAGAGCCATAGGTAATAAAGCATAGAATAAACCAATAGGTTGTTGAGCAGCTAAAATATCTAATAAATTAACAGTACCAAGGGTAAAAATAACAGTTAAAAAGATTAAACTTAAACTTACAGAATAACTAATCTATTGAGCAGTAGATCTCTAAGAACCTAAAAATGGATATTTAGAGTTAGCAGCCCAACCAGAAGCAATAACACCATAAATACTTAATTCAGAAATAGCGATTAAAATTAAAATACCAGCACCTAATAATTCAGATAAAGCAATACCATAATCCTATGGTAATACTAACCAATTTAATAAGGCTAAATAAAAGCTTACAAAAGGAGCACCAAGGAATAACCAATGACTAGATTCAAGTGGTAAAACAGTTTCTTTTAAAATAAGTTTGATCCCATCAGCGACAAATATAGTGATAGCACAAATAGCATAAAATGTTATCTATGTTTCCTTTATCTACACTATAAATTAGATCATATCATGATAATTAGGCTCGGAAGCCTCACCTTGTCCGAGCCACGGACGAGCCCTTAGGCTCGGACTAGTTTGAAATTACCGAACTTGTTCGAAACCAATCCGATAATTCCATTAATTCATCTTTAACGTGTGATCGTTGAGGATCTAATTCAGGCATAGCCCATTATTTCCTGCTGGTTAGTTCTAAAACCCTTCCAGCATATAGTTAAATTTAAAACCGCTCACTATTAACGGTTGTAATAAACCTAAAAAACCAACTTGATTTGGCCCAATACGTCTTTGCATAGCACCCATGATTTTTCTTTCAGCTAATGTTAATAAAGCTACTGAAAGGACTACACATAAAACTACGATAAGAGTAGCAATCATTAATTATTAAATTAGCACTAAATTTCAATTCTTTCATAAACCCATTATGAACATTAGGTGGAATAAGTCCACGAATTACAGAGTTTATTATGGCCAGACAGGACTTGAACCTATACGACCAGGTTATGAGCCTGGTATGCTACCGTTACATCACTGGATGAGTCTAAGCCCTACCAAAGGCTAGCGTAGGCAAGCTACGTTATACCAAGGCCATAGCCTAACCTCTAGGCTTGGCTTTAGGATGGATCATCCTTGATCCATCCAAGGCTAGCTTGTCTAGATCTAATATTGCGGATGGCAGGACTTGAACCTGCAAATAATGGATTTAGAGTCCACTGAGTTTACCAATTCCTCTACACCTTCTATTAAATAAACTACACAATATGATCAAGTAGATCATATGATGATTATCTTTTGGAAATCAGGGTGATAGGAATCGAACCTACATCACTGGCTCCCAAAACCAGTATTCTAACCGTTGAACTACACCTTTATAAAAAAAACTACACAATAATCTTATAAATTGAATCCATTCATTAAGCTAACCTTTAGAGAGCCTAGCTCAATTGATAGTGATACAGGGCCCAGTACTAGTGCTAGAGAGACAAGTCTCTCTTGGCTCTCAAGGCGAACCTTGTGAGCCTAATTAGGTTGTGCCAACCTTGGCTCAACCAAGGCGAGCCTAACCTTAATATTAAGCCATAGCCTATTACTTCATGTTTAGCATTGATAATGGACTTTCTCTAGTCCAATACAATAGCCAAAATTGGAGGTTAATCCTCCTGTTATAACACATTCATTGATGCAGGGGCGATAGGACTCGAACCTATATCGCTGGTTTTGGAGACCAGAATTCTAACCATTGAACTACACCTTCACAATCTCTGTTCAGATCATAGGTCTGTACCTATAACTTAACATACTACACAATAATGTTTTCACTAATGGATTTCTCTGTAAGCATTAGTAATTTCATGACATTCTCAAAAGGATTCAATCATTATTAATTGGACAAAAGCTTAGAGAGCCAAGCCTCTCTTGGCTCTCAAGGCGAGCCTTGCGAGCCTAATGACCTAATGTCCATAAAAAGGTTAGATTAAGAAAGTATAAAGGAATAAAATAAATAAAGTAATTGGAATACTACCTAAACTATAGATAATAATGAAGAGAGTTAAACCACTAACAATTAAGAAAGCGTAATGTGGAATGAAACCTGTAGAAAGTAATTCAATACGGAAAGCTAAATAGTGGAAGAATCTAACTAAACCAGTTGGACCTAATAATTCAATTAAACCTCTATCCCAATAACGGAAAACATTATTAGCGAAATTTAAAGTAGAGTGTAAAGTCCAATGAATATAAATATTAAAATGATTAAGAATAGATGTATAAAAAGATAAAGTATGATATTGAGGAATATTTCTCATAAATAAAGAAGAACGATTAATAGCAGTACTTGAAATGACTTTATTAGAGCTCTAAGATTTAGTACTAGTAAAAGTACGTGAGATAGGTAAAAGAGTTAATAAAATTAATAAAGTAGCTGGTGCAAAATATTTCATTACAGAACCTGGAGATAAAGGACCATCAAGTAAAGTCTAATTAGATGGATGAGTAAATAAAGCTTGTTGATAGAAAGTAGAACCTAAACCAAGGAATAATTCATGAGTAAGGAAACCAAAGAAAGCTGCACCAAGACTTAAGATTAATAAGGGGAATAACATAAATTTAGTTGGATCAGCAATAGTTTGTAATACAGTCTAAGGATAATGAGGAGCACTTAAGAATGTCATAATCATTAAACGAGCAGAATAAGTAGCTGTTAAAATAGCTGCTACTAATGCTAAAATATAAGCAATAGCTGAAGTAGCATTATGTGGAACAAGAGCCATTTCTAAAAGATAATCTTTAGAATAGAAACCAGTAAGGAATGGAAAAGCCATTAAAGAAAGACTACCTAATAAGATGAAACTATAAGTTTTAGGTAATAATTGAACTAACCCTCCCATTTTACGCATATCCTGTTGGTCAGCTAGAGCATGAATGACTGCACCAGCAGATAAGAATAATAAGGCTTTGAATGCAGCATGATTAATAAGATGAAATAAAGCAATACTGTATTGACTCTAACCACAAGCAACCACCATGTAACCCTATTGAGATGTAGTAGAGAAAGCAATTACTCTTTTAAGATCATTTTCTAATAAACCACAAGCAGCACCTAATAATGCACTTAAACCACCTAACCAAGTTACAATCATTAAAGTAGTAGAACTCCATTCTAATAATGGACTAAAACGCATTAATAAATAAACACCTGCAGTTACCATGGTCGCAGCATGGATAAGAGCAGATACTGGGGTAGGACCTTCCATTGCTTGAGCTAACCAAGCATGTAAACCAAGTTGGGCGGATTTAGCAGAAGCACCAATTAAAAGTAATAAGGTTAAGATAAATACCTAATCACCATTTAAATCACTAGCTACACTAAAGATAGTAGACATGGAAAGATCAGAAATCATACCAATAGTTAACTAAATAGCTAACATCATTGCCAAATCACCTACACGATTCATTAAAAATGCTTTCATAGCTGCAAAGTTAGCAGCCATACGAGTAAACCAGAAGTTAATAAGTAAATAAGAGGCAATACCTACACCTTCCCACTAAGTTAAATTGACTGTCCATAGGACCAGGCCCAAAGGGCCAATCAACCTAGTCCGAGGACTATGGATCGTTCTTAGCTCGTGCAAGGCGAACCTTATGAGCCTAATTTAAATAACATGCTAGAATGCATATGAGGAGTGACCTATCTACGAAGAAGCTCTAAAGAACTAGAAGCAATTCTAATTCTAGTAACACCTTCAGTACGAATATTAAGTGAAGCTTGAATACCTAATTTAGAACTTAGGTTGAGACAACCTTGGCTCAACCAAGGCGAGCTTGGCCGAGCCTAACATATCACATAAAAATTGTACTTCCTCCAAGGTGAAATTATCAGTACAAAGTAATACAGTAGATTGAGCAGAATGCCAATAACCATCATCCATAATCCAAAAAGCTAAAGATACAGCAGTAAAATGATCAGCTAAAGCTGGTGTTATAGTTTTAGCTCCAATAACAGAAAGAGGATTATAGAATAATTCACGGTAGATATTAAAACAAGGAAAAGCTAAAGTCTTAAATTGTAAACTATTATAAACTTTACCTGTTCTTTTATCAGCTTTACGATTCGTAGAACGAACTGGTGAACCAACAAAAGGTTCAAATAAATGAGCAAGCCACTATAAATAATCAGAATGACCATCCATAGTTTGATCAAAACATAATCTTGTATTTGAGGTCAAAGTTCTACGTTCTGCATAAACATCGCCCTACATTAAACCAATAATGGCTTCTGCTAAATGAGAAGAAGGAACTGTACTTTCTTTGTATTTTCTAGTATATTTGATAGGATCACCCTTAGCTTCTTTTCTAAAAGTAGGCTGGACGCCTTGTCCAGCCAAGGCCAGCTTGCCTGGACTAGATTCAAAACTAACACCTTTTTTAGAGAGCCAAGGCCCTCTTGGCTCTCAAGGCGAGCCTTGCGAGCCTAGCAAATAAAATTATAGTAATCAAAAAGGCTAGAATTCGCATAAGTCATTTAGGCCTTATAGTCTGGTCCTATAGACTATCCAGTCTAGCCGAAACTTATTTCGTCTTCATTCGGCAAGATGAACTTTCCTCAATAAAATTAGGTTCAAAGGTAATAATCAACCTAAAGGCACGATTTAACTTATTGGACTATATCTTCCTATAAAATAACCATGTAATAGATACATTTATAGGTTGTGCGTAAACAGATCGTACATGACCTGATTCGTTAGTCTCTGAGGATCCATTAATTTATTTTACCAATGAAATGAATTGGCAAGAATGTTTCCTGCTGATTGCCATAATAGAATGATAATGGTATTCCAGCATATAGCACAATTTTACTAGAGCCGAGAATGGTATATTAACCCTAGAACTATACCTAAAGGTTTTCACCAGTAATTAAAATTAACATAAAGAAAGAGAATAATGATAAATAAGAAAAGAATCTAGGAAGATGAGGGTCGGTTTCCATATAACCTAAAGAATAGATTTGAACTAATACAGATACGTAGATAACAGGAATAAACATAGAAACAGTTAAACTATCAAATAATAATCCCCATTCTACATTTAAATATAGAGATTCAATCCAATAACCTAATTTCTAAGATACAGGAGAACCCATTAAACCGACTTCAAAGAAAGCGATTGTAGCTAAAATAGCAGTAGTAAAAATGCAGATCACACTTAATAATGGACCTCCAATTAAACCACATTTTCTATTAACAGCAAATAAACTACCAAATAATGGCAGAGCTAAGATTGCCTAATACATTTATTTTTTATTTAGATCTCTTCTACCCTAATAGATCCTTAGATCGATTGTATGAAATGCCAAGATAATGATCAAGGCGTAAATGAAACTATCTTACGGTTCAATGCTATCGTTCATAGAATCGTTTGGCTCAAAGCCTTAAAGTTGATATTATGTAAATACTTAACTATACCGACCAAAGACAAGTGATGACCTTATAGGGTATTACCACCCCCTTTTGGTCCGTTATAAATAATAACCTGCTATTACAAATCTTCATAAAAGACTATTTGGCCCTATATAGCTTTATATTCAACACAATATATTTGCAGTAATTACTGCCGATATCGAATGCTTTTTTTGGAGGAATTGTTGATGTTTATAAAACTCATGGTAAAGATCTATATTACTATGATGAAAACAGCCTTAATCCATATGCTATGTAGCAGCCTATGCCCGTAGGAAATCCAGTACTATACGAAGGTTCAATTGATTAGATCAATGATGATTTCTTTGGCTTTGTTTATGTAAATATCAAAACTACTAGAGAAATCAATATTCCATTATTACCTGTTAAAACTGATCGATTGATTACTCCTCTTGGCCAATGGACGCTAGTTAGATAATAATCCAATTCAAATTGGTATGTTTATTCTTAATTTACTTATTACTACAGGTTACTTTACTCAAATCTTTGATAAAGAAGAAGATTGTATTCTCTTTAAAGCTACTCAAAAATATATTGATGATCTTAATGATTTAATGATTATCGGTTATGATAACTTGCCAATGCTTTGTGTTCCTAATAAATGGACTAATCAATATCGCAGTGGTTTCCTTTCTAATAAAAATAGTAATCTTATCCACTTCTCCCCTGGTGTTAGTCATGTTACTAAAGTTTCAGATAATTATTTAAATGCTGTTAACAAAATTAATAGTATTCAATTCACTATTAATACGCTTTTATAGGACTTCTTAAATAGTACTAGAGGTTCAGAGATCTTAAAATTTTACCATCAAGATAATGAAACTTTAACTATTCAAACTCGTTTCACTATTAAATTTGCTGATATGTACAGTAAATATCCTAACCCAATCTATCTACCTGTATTCTGTGATTGGCGTGGTAGAATTTATCCTAATAGTTTCTACTTAAATTATCAAGGTAACGATATCAGTAAAAACCTATTAGCATTATATGAGGGCCAAGTGCTTGATAAAAATGGTATCTTTAATTTATTTATTTTTGGTGCTAATTCATACGGTTTAGATAAATTATCCTTTAAAGATCGTTATGATTGGGTAATTAAAAATGCTAATAAAATTCTTAACTTAGATTTAGATTTTATTAAAAGAGCTGAAGAACCTTTTTCTTTCATCAACTTCGCTCTTAATTTTAGGTTATGGTATAATAATCCTTTAGCTAAAATAAATATCATTGTATATCAAGATGCTACATGCTCTGGTCTACAACATATGGCGGAGCG